TAGAACAAGCCATTAATAAAAATGATGATGAATAAACTGGCATCTTGAACCACATCTTAAATATTTCACATCTTGATATTCAAGATGTTTTTAAGTCTTAACAATTTATGTTTTTACCAAAAAACCAACTTTAAAAGTTAAATTGAAACACACAAACAAACACACACAAATATATATGTATACACAAGCAAATGTTCAAAAAAAAAGTACATGGGAAACAAGCATCAACTGATTGTTTTGTTTTAAAATTTCTTAAGCTTAAATTTGGAAATTATACATATTGTAAGTAATAAACACTTAAAGTTAAGATTAAAAAACCTAACATAAAGTTTAAATTTTAATACTAAAACAACATCTAATTAAAGTTTTATACTTTAAATTTTTAAAGGTTTATTTTATTAAATTTAAAATTTTGTTAAATTAAGTGAGTTTGATTAATTAAACATTAAGTTACTAAATTTGTTTATTCAAAAATATACTTTGTTTGTAGTAAATTTAACTTTTTACTATTTTTAAAATATTTTGTTTCAGCAACACGTTTTAGAATCGTTTCAGAAATACATGTTAGAAACATCAATTTTTGTTGTGTTAAGGTGATCAAAAAATAGCTTTAATGTTAAATAACATTAAAATAGATACTGGCATTTTTTTTTTATAAGTTAGTGGAAAATTTGCCAAACTTAAAAAGAAAACCGCAACCTCAAATCAGTGTTTGTAGCAAGAAAGGTATTTTATTCTATAGTAGAAAATTAATTTCAAAATTCTCAGCACATTTGAAACTCTTTTGATTTTCAGAAGAATATATCATTGTATGATAAAGAAATAATGTGTGTTGATAATTTTTTTTTTTCTTACAACAAGGCTGCAAGCAACCATTATTAGAGTTGGAAGTTACTGGAAGAGAAAAGATGAAGTTTATAAAGCAAGATAACGATTAACAGATGACTTAAAAGATTGCAAATTATATGAATCAGGAAAACAAGATGAATATGAACAAATTATGTTTACTATGCATTTTTGCACCTTGTCTAAAAGAAAAAAAAATTCAAAGATTCGCTATATATATGGCAGCAATATTGCATACAAGGACGGATTTGAGATTTGTAGAGATAAAAAATAAAATCCAGAGTAAGAAAGTGGGGAGTATGATAAAGAGATACAACCTTAGCAGATGCTATTTTTGCAATGAATTTGATATATGGTTTCCAAAAAGATCGGCAGTTAATCCAAGAAGATGAAGGGTAGATGACTCATTGATTACATTAACATTCACAAATACAGGAAGATCTAGGTTGTTGTGATAACTAGCTGAAAATAATTGAGTTTTATCTGAGTTGAAATTCACTAGCCACTGAGAGCTCCATACTGTAGCAGAAGTGAGATCCTTCAAGCTCAAATGCTACCTCCAAGTAATCAGAGAGTGTTGGTTTCTTATTAAGACAAGAAACGGTAGTCATCAGTGAACAATGCCACCTAAGATGTGAGAATTTCTGGGAGATTGTTAATATAAATTAAAAAAAGTATAAGGCTAAAGATCTTGAGGAACCCCTGAAGTTACAGGAAATGATAAAGAGTGATGTCCATCAAGGACAACTTTAAGCTACAATTGGTAAGGAAAGATTCAATAATCTTAAAGATGTTACCTGATACACCGTAAGAAGAAAGCTAGCTTATGGAGAAGACCAGTATGCCAAGCTTTATCAAAGGCTTTAGAACTTTAAACTTAAATTTGTTTCATTTAATATGCACATTCTATCCAGTGATGAATTTTTTCCCTTATTCATATGACAAAACCACTGGAAAAAAGGGAGCTGCGAATGCTTTACTATTTATTATTTTATTTTTATACGTCTTTCACTAACACTGTTTGTTTTCTTGGATTGCATAGTTTTTTCTTGGATTGCATACTTTCTTGCATAAGATGATCCACTTTTAAAAATGTTGAAATTGTATCTCAGTTTAATTTACTAATCATAGTTAATTTAATATGAAATATGGTTTTAAAATAGAGAATATGCCATTTCTGTACACAAATTACTTCTTTTAGAAATCTCGAAAAATTTTCATTCATGCTAAAAATTGAAGTTTTTTTTTTTCGTTGAAATAATCTTTGTCACATTCTTCACATTGTATTTTTTTTGTGAGAAATCTGCAAAAAATAAAAAAAATTTGTTTTTATTTAATTATTTGAGTGCTTTTTGTTGTTGTTGTTTATGTCAAAACAACAACAAAAAAACAAGTTAAAATAATTGCAGAAGGCACATTCAATTACACCATTTATATATGCATATATGTGTTGTATGCATACACATATGTTATAACTGATCATGCTACAAAAAACAACAATACAGCATTTAGCATTAGATGAAATATATTAACATATTAAACTTGATTTTTGCTTGTAAAATTGTTTTTGTTTAATATTTATTTATTGATTATAGGTGTACTTGCTCCCACTCCTCCCAAAGAAATGCCAGGAGAAAGTGGAGATGTGTTTGAGGTAAGTTTTAAACTTTACTAATAAAATTTTTTAGTTTCAAACTAAACTAAAGATAATAGAATTTTGGTTTACATGATTATTGTTTGTGTTTATTTAGTTTCATTTTGATATCACTACATACATACATACATACATACATACATACATACATACATACATACATACATACATACATACATACATACATACATACATACATACATACTCAAAGAAGTTGTAGAGACAGTTTTTAAAATCTTCTTCATTGTCAAAGGTTATGTCTCTATGGTTCAACAAGGAGCGAAAAGGTGGTAATTTGTTAATGCAAGGTTCCGAGAATACGGCTGGTGAAGACAGACCTCCCGTTTCAGTTATGAAGGAGTATGGTTTGACCTTGTTGATGAAGTCTTTTTAGTTGCATAGCCTCTTTTACGCTGTGTGGCTGGGCAATGTAGGCCTTCTTGGTCACCATGACATTCTTTCCAAGCATTTTTTAGTACACCATACCCTCCCAGTCCCACCCAATGCAGATCATAGTTTGCTTCGGATGAAAGTCAGACTTGACTTTCGACTTTGGCGTATCTCCATAATCAATGAAACTTATACTGTAAAAGTTTAATATTGATTAAGAAAGCAACACCAAACTTTCATATGCTGATGATTGAGATTCCTACAGCCGAAATATTATCATAAAAATACTTTTAATTAAGAGTTTACTGTAGATACAACAATTATACCTTGCGCTAATTTATTCCAATGGTTTGCAACACAGTTTTTAAACATATGCTAACATTCTGGGTAACTTTTGATTAGTTATAGTTTTAAACAGATATTTTTTAAAAATTAAATGCTGAGTTTGATGACAAAGCGTAAAGGCACCAAGGTTTTTAACTTGGTTTAAAACAAACTTTTAAATTCTTCAACAGCAGTTCTCTGTAGTATAAACAAAGCAAGTTAATTGCTATGCTTATGCATATCACCTAGTAATTTTATTTTATATCTCATCAATAACAACAAATTTTTTACTTTTTTGTAATTAAAATCTCATTATGATTTTCTTTTGTCTTCTGGCACCCACTTATTCTTACATTAAATAAGTATATCCATTTTTATATAACTATTCTTATAAATTTATATATTTTTACAATTTCAAGAAAAAATAATAATATTTAATGAAAATTTGTTGCCTTCAAAGCCTTGGCACCTGGGTGAAAATCACCCATTGTATTCCCTTCGCTGGGCCTGTATTTATATATATATCTACTATAGCATATATAAATCAGCAATTTCTTACTATTTTGCTTATTTTTATAGCATGAAGCGTTTTCAGAAAAAATGAAGCATAATGAATGAAGACTACTGCTCCATCATAAACCCTCATTCAATGTAGCACCACTTTTTTGTGGCAGCAGGCTATAAAATAATGGATGCCTGTAATAAAGCCCCCAGCATCAGGCTATACCAGTGTGGCGTCAGACATCTTATCAAAATATTTAAACATACATACTATTAGTTTACTTTTACAAATCATATGTACAGTGCAAATAACACTAAAGGTTAAAACATGCTATTAAGCAGCCTGTAGTAAATAAATAAACTGAATCGAAGTTGTTATCTAGATTGCAGTAGTGCATTTCATCAAATGTCATTCTTAACACTACTAGGTGTTAGAAGAATTTCAATAGTTTCCCTAAATAGTTCAGTCTATTGTCATTTGTTTCAACAAACTGTTTGGCAATTTTATTAATGTTAATTTTGTCCATTTGTGTTTTGTGTATCTGAAAAATCATGATGTTGTTTCAGGTGATTGCCTTTAGTTTGTGATCAAACCCATGTTTTTACTCTCCTCATTACACTATAGCTTAATGATAATGTTGATAGAGGCATGGTGCAGTAAAGCTTCATTATTTTTTGTGTTAGTATAATGGCAACTTTGAAAGCTGGCATGACATTGAAAATATTTGCATTTATTGCCACTCTGTAATTTGATCGGTGCATTAGCATTGTGCTGGGTAATGATTGTTGCTAGCCCCTTTATCTGATTTATATTAAAGCTATTAATCCATCCTGCTCAAATCTCTCACTCAAAATGTTCTAAATAGCATCAATTGCTTCAAAATGAGGTTTCCTTTGTTTATGCCTTGATTTGAAAATTTGTCATTGCACCGCCAATGTATTACTCTTTGACAACACCTGTCAGATGAATTTCTTGTAATTGCTTCAATTGAGTCTCTAAAATTGCAAATAATTCAAAAATGAGAAGAATTAGAATTGCAAATAATTCAAAAAAAAGGTAATGGTTCTTTAATTTATGCTCTTATTTCTGTCGCAATAGTCTTGTCACTCTTAAGTGATCAAGTCATCATCAAGCTTTTTTAACAAGATTTTTTTTAACAAGATTTTTTGTTAGATTTTATGTTATTTTTAGAAAAAAAATACTAACTCAAAAAACTATTACTTTCTTGCATGAAGCGGGAGCGATTGCTCCTGTCACATGAAACATGTTCGTTAATGGAATATTTATTTATTGCAAGCGCAATAAAAAAGGCTCCTTAATTTAGTTACGAGAGTAAAAAATCGCGCTCGTCCTAAAAATTTGGGAGAGAGAAAACTAATAATGGTTTACTTGATTTTATATTAAATTTTTTTTATAAAAAGTTTTTATCAAAGATTCTTGGTTAATTCAACAAAAAAGTTCGCTTATTGATAAAAACAAAATAATCTCTATTCAAATATCTTTAATTGCGTTTTTTTAACTGAGGTAAAATGTTAAAGTTATACTTCAATTAAAAAACTCATTTTTTCATGTTAACTTACATCATTCTGTTGAAATTAGAGTGCAAATTTCTACGAACAATAAATGGTAATTTGTGAATAAGACTTCTTTATATAAAACGTTTACAGCAAACATTTAACAAAATTAAATAAAATTTTATTTATTTATGTAAGTTTATTAATAATATTAAATTGTGTAATAAATACAAATCAATTATGAAAAACGTTTTTAATTTAATTTTGGAAAAGCATTTGCTAAAAACCATATGTATAATAATAAAAGTTTTTTTATTTAATTTCGAAAAAAATATTTCTGAAAAGGTTGTGTTTTCAACGGTGACCAGTTTGCTTACCGTTAAAAACAAAATAATCACTAATCACATATTTTTAATTGCGTTTGAAGTTGAAAGCAGTTGAAGTAAAACATTAAAAAATTTAATTGCGTTTGAAGTTAAAAGCAGTTGAAGTAAAACATTAAAAAAACTCGTTTTCTAAATATTAAACTATGTCATTCGGTAAATTAGAGCATTAGAAATGTTTTTGGCAAAAATTTAACTAGTTTTAAAAAGCTTTTGTTATTAAAATTATAACTTACATGATTAATAACTTAATTAAAATTATAAATTTATTTGAGAAAAAGAAAAGTTTAAGTTATTGAAAACGGTTAAAAAAATTATAAAAGTTCTATTAGCGTTAGCAACGAAAAAACATTAAATATGTTTTAAGAAAAAGAAATTGTTATTTTATTATTTTAATGTTTTAATGATGCGAAAACATTATGAATATTTTAATTAAACAAATGAAATAATGAAAAAAAAATAAAAGATTATGAACTTATTTCTAATAAATTCAATGTAATAATAAAAAAAATTTACTGTAGTATTAATTGAAAGATAAAAACAATAACAAAGAAAATACATAAAAGATAAATTTATTATACATTTAGAACTAGGCGGAAAAAAAAAATACAATCAAATGCGATCAAATAATAAATAAGTATTTAGGAAGTCAAAAGAATTTTAAACGTTTTGTCAGGCAGTGGGCTGCTAAATAATAATTTTAAAATATTTATCCTCTTAAGAATGCTGTATAAAAATTAAAAATTAATAAAATTGTGTGGAACACCCATATCCAAAAATAAAAGATCGCTCCCAATAACTTATTGAAGAGCATGCATAATCGTGCTTGCTAAAAAAATTTTTGAATTTTACAGGGGCAAAACATCGTGCTGGACAATTTTCTTCATGCCAAGGCCTGATATATATATATATATATATATATATATATATATATATATATATATATATATATATATATACACATACTTACATATATATATATGTATATATATATATATATATATATATATATATATATATATATATATATATATATATATATATATATATATATATATATATATATATATATATATATATATATATATATGTATACACATACATATATATATATACACATACACACACACACACACACACACACACACACATATATATATATATATATATATATATATATATATATATATATATATATATATATATATATATATATATATATATATATATATATATATATATATATATATATATATATATATATGTAGAACTAAATAAAAAAAAATTTAATTTTTGTTATGCACAGTGGGCCAAAATTGACATGAAATGGATAAACAATCATAATTCCTTTATTTTAAAGTTGTCAAATTGAAAATTTTATGTGACTCTGTAGTCAACATGAAGATCTTTTTTAAAAAAAATATTTTTTTTATGCAGATGCAGGCACCATAAACACCTTTATAGAAAAGGGTGTATAGGGTGTTAGAGATTTTAGACAACTTTTTGTTGTTTTTAGAAACAGTTTTTCCCAGATTCAAAGCATTAATTAATTAAAATAATTGTGACGTGTTAGACTCCCTTTAATAAACAAAAAAACATTTATTTAATAGATATTTTATCAGAAATTAGAGTGAAAATTCAAAACTATAAGTTAAAAAAAAGTTACAACATAAGTTTAATACAATCTTTGTTAAAATCAAGTTCTCTAATACATCTTAAAATCCTTCTTAGAGAGCTATTAATTGGATCTGAACTGCATAATAATCTTCGCATAACATTTTCATTGGTGATTTTTCTTAAATATTTTCTCGTAAAGTGTTCTATATAAATTTTAATGTCTTTATTTCGACCTTCCTGAGCTTACTCATAAAGAAGACCTTCTGGTAT